AGAAAAAGATATCTCTAATGTCAAAATGTTCCAAATTTGAACTATTAAGCTCTTGTGAGCAACAAATATGATGTGGACTAAGGATGCAAGTGGTCCGATTTTATCGATTTTTGACAGATTTTCAAACCAAATAGTTTAAATCGGTTTGAGAAAAAATCAAACCTAAACCAAACAATTTTGAACGGTTTGAAAAAAACGCAAACATAAACCTAACGGTTTGGTCCGATTTTAAATCGTCGGTTTCGCCATATATTTTTTTGCCCTTCTACTTTTATGTCATTAATTCATTGAATTCAATATATATTTATATCTCAATAAATCTAAAACAAATTAAGCCCCTTTTTTAACCAAATTTTTGGGACAAAAAATAAAAATTTGGACCGTTATCCCACAAGTTCAACAACCTTTGTTGACATACTATTTCATGTGTGGGACCGAATCTCCTCTCCAACGATCAATTTTCTCATTATGATGAAATGAAAAATATGGCTCAAACAGGGACTAAATATATCTACTATAAATTTAAATATCAACTAAATCAAAGTGAAATAACAATAAACTAAAACATAGTTTTTTTTTCATTTTTATTCACTTTTTTAGGCTAATGACGATAAAATAATGTTAGAATACAAGTCTACTAAATCAGATATAAAGCCCAAAAAATATAATGATGTCCAACAAGACCTTGTGATCATCATATCTGAAAAAAGAAACTAATTAGACAAAGAGAATAATCAACCACAATAATAAAGTAATTGTTTATAATATTTAAACATAATAATTACGCAAGTTTACATTTGTGTGATGTTACGAAATGTATTTAATTTCAGATTCTCACTTTAGTTTGCTTCAAAAAAATTATTGATCTGAAACTTTATTCGTAGCAAATATTATTACCGAAGGTCTAGGATCTCTTTGTCTCATATTTGGTATAATGGACTTCAACTCAACTTTGATAAGGCATGAAAAAGAAGTGTGTGATGCTGGTGGCTCAAGACTATGTTGGATGTCTGCTAGAGTTCATCTAAATTCTGAAGAGGAAAAGGGGTTTTGATAGATTATGGCAGTCTTGAGATTATTAGATATATATTAGGATTATTGGATGATGATGATGATGATAATAATAATATACCTGTATTAGAAAATTAGAAATTGATAAAAATACCTACAAATGGCAAAACTATTGAATTTTACATATTTGGATGAATTTTTTCAAAAAGTTTCAAATTTTTCATTTTTTTAACTTTTATATATTTTTTTGCCGGTTCAATTTAGTTTTAAACCGCAATTAAAATTCTCAAATCTAAACCAAACCATTTTTACCGGTTTGGTTTGGGTCAAAACCATTTCGTTGATCAGGTCCACGTGGCACCAAATCGACGGCTTCTAAAATGCGATTTTGATTCGATTTTCAGGTTTGGCGATTTTTGCTTACAGTCCTATTGTAGACCTCTAACATTATTAAAATTCATATCGGGATTAATCAATATACATTTCACAGAAATTTCCATCTTCAAGTAATATAATTAAGATTGCTGACCCTCTAAAATGGTCAACAAGTGTTGATACAAGACAATATACACGTGGACGTATAATGTGGTATTTCTACTGTAAATATGAATGTTTGTGAAAGAAGTGAATAGTGGACAACGCAAGTATATTATCCCTTCACTGTATTTTTCCCCAGCCCTTCCAGTTGATACAAGAATTCCCTATGTATAGTGATCAGGTTGACGTGGTCATCATAGGATTGGGTCCACGTGGCTTGATCTGCCGATCCTAATGATACATTAACTTTATCATCTATTAATTACATTGATAGACTTTTGACAAGAGGTCAACCACTTTATAAACTAGGTTGACATTCTTGACACCTATTAACTACGAGTATCAACACTTGTTGACCATATCAGTCAACTTTGGAGATGCTTTTGTCCGACCTTCTTTTGTTTGCCAAGGACTTCAGATAGTGGAGTGGTTCAGCGGCAGAAGGCAAACCACCTCGGATCAACTTAGAAACTTAGAACAACGACCTCGACACTTTTTTTGACAACTTTGGATGTTCGCCATGTG